GCACGTGTGTTCAGGCTAAACCCCTAACCCCTAAACCCTGAACGCCTAAACTCTAAAACCCGAAACCCCTAAACCCTAAATTTCCTAAAGCCCTCAACCCCGTAAGCCGTGAACCCTAAAGCCTAAAAATCCTTAAGCCGCTGCACTAAAGTCTAAGCTGCGAGCGCGACCCAGTCGCGATTTCAATTGTTCGAATATCCAAGGAGCCTTGGAAGCCGAAAGCTTGTTACTTCGACGTGTAAATCCTTCAGAAGACTACCGGCACGTCAGCCCCAGGCCGAAAGTTTGATAGCTCGACCTTTAAATCCTCGAGACCACTGCCGGCACCGGCAGCCCCAGGCCGAAAGCTTGCTACTTACTTCGGCGGTCTAAGACCTCAAGACCACTGCCGGCAGCAGGAGCCCCAAGCCAAACCGTTGATAATTCGACGCTTTGATGTTTCGACGTTTAAAGCTTCGAGACCACTGCCGGCAGCGGGCGGCTGGCCCAGGCCGACAGCTTGCTCCTTCGACATTTAAATCTTCCAGACTCCTACCGGCAGCAGGAGCCCCTGGCCGAAAGTTTGATACCTCGACTTTTAAATCCTCGGGACCGCAACCGGCACCGGGAGACGCCAAACCTTGATATTTCGACGTTCGAAGCTTCGAGACCACTGCCGGCAGCTGGAGCTCCAGGCCAGTTGATGTTTCGACATTTAAAGTAAAGCTTCGAGACCACTGTTGGCGGCTGGTGCCTGGTCCAGGCCGAAAGCTGGCTACTTCGACTTTTAAATCCTCCAGACCACTACCGGCACCGGGAGCCCCAGGCCCAACCATAAAGCACCATGAATCCCTGTAAAATCCTGATAGAACCCCGTAAACACCCTAAAGAACCATGCAAAAAAAAGGTAGTCCTATTAAATCCTGAAGGGATCCCTAAACCTTAAGCCCTGTAACCCTTAAGCCCTAAAGGCATCTTCGCACTTGCAACTCATCACTGAAGACCCAGCCTTCGAGCCGTTGGCCGCGCTGTTCAAGAGCACCTGCCTGCAACTGGCCACCAGGGCGAGGGGGGGGGGTGGTGGTGGTAAGGCCTTTTTCTTCAGGTTTAGACTCTCGCAACTTGGGCAATGCAGGCGAGGTTGGTCCATGGTTCGCAGGGGAGGCGCATGTGGCCTCAAGTCGGCAGGGTTCAGGGCTTAGGGGTCGGGAGGGATTTGGGGTGTGTCGCACTCGCACCAGGCAGGCAACGATCAACGTGCCCAAGGTCCACGACCACAGAGCCACGATACAGTGCACGGGTGGCCCCACACTCTTGGGTAAAAACTTAAACACCACGCCCACGATCGTAATGACCACTTGAGCCTTGAGTCCATGTTTCAAGTTGTTACCACTCAGCTTCGAGCAGCATAACACGGTGCCATGTCCTGATTCCCCACATGTAGCACGTAGCTGCCAGCTTTACTGGGAGTAACCAAGGAAAAGTATAGACTGTTTGTTGCGAAATAACGGTTCCACTTTAACGTAAACGTCGACACAAAGGTACTAAAGCATAGTACTTCAGAACCAGGTCTAGACATGCAACACCCGCTAGGAATTTGGAGTTGCCGGAGGTGGGGGACCCGTTGCGACAATTCACCGAAAGGATCATGCGAAATTGTGTTTTTATCGGTTCTTTTCCATGTGCACTTCATGATAGGGCTTCGACTCGCACACTCGCACTCAGCAGGCATGGCAGGTTTGGTCTGAGCTGTGCTAGTTGCACATGGCGCTTACCAAGTGGCGAGAGAGCACAACGGCAGAAGTACGAAATAGACAGTATAAAGTAGGAAAAACTGTTTAGCGCTTAATGTAAACTCATGTCAGCCAACTGGGCCGCGAGGCCCATCAACCGTTCAGCAGTTTCGCTCAATCGGACAAGTTGGAAATGTCTATACACGTGTCTGATGGGGACCACCGAGGGCGCCCGGTGGAGCTGCGCCAGCTCCCACACACAGATCTGGGGGATGATCCAGACCCCTCGGTGTTGTAGAAACTCAAACTGACAGCGACTGTAGATGACGATCTCCGGAAAAGCTGCCTCTATCCCCGGAATAGCGGGGAGAACTGAGCTAGTCGATGCAGGTGACCTCTCAGCCAGCTTGAAGACCAACGATGTGGTCCCCATTGAGTGCGTGATGGACTCGTCCTGGGACACCTCCTTGATGAAGTCGGAGAAGTAGTACGGCAACCATGCACTTTGATCAAGAGCTCGCTTCCAGACGTCCGAGAACGTATCCCAAAAAGGCCATCTCTGTGCTGATGTGGACGCAAGAGTTCAACTGACCGATGAGCGACTGGAAACCAAGTGTCAGCTTGAACCAAAATGGTTAGGGTTTAGGGTTCAGGGTAGGGCTTAGGGTTACGGGCCACAGGGAGGCAGATCACCACACCTGTCAGGCTGCAACCTTGGGGCTGACGCTTCACATTCTCGCATACCGTCCGACAGAACCCAATCGCCAAGCATGAACAGGTAATATAGGGGCCTAGACAATTACCAATACTATTTTGGGGGTTCCTCAGTATAGTTCTAGCAGAACATGCCCCAAAACCCTCTTCTGATTATTCAGGCCCCAAAAATAGATGGAGGACATGTATAAAAAGGCGACTCCAGCTCCGAGGAGCTCATGTACATTTCATTCTCAAGATTTCCCTCTGCAGACTCAGCGGCGGGGGAGCGTGTGAACAAGTCGTCTCCTTGACGCTGAACCTTGACCCTAACACACGAGCAACGGCGAAACATTTGAGGAGAGGGCCTGACGGATGAAGCTGTCGGGCTTTGTGCTCCCTCAGTTCCGGGCAGTGTACTTTTACCAGTTCGGAGCAGGTCTCGGCATTATGCGCAAGCCACACGCTTCAACCATCTTCGAGCCAAAACCGTTTTGCACCCGAAATCCTATGCCCTGCACAGCTGGACCCTCAGTCCTAAAATTGGGTGCTCCGTAGATCCCACGCAACTGCAAATCATACACATCTCTTTGCAAGTTGTGGGTTTCGGCGCTCACATTCGGATTCTCCAAGCTGCTGCGGTTTGAGGGCTTTGTGACAAAATGCCGAGGCGTCGTTGACATTCCAATTCTCTGTTTACCATCATTAAGTTCCAGTGGTTGAGTGTTCACCAATGCTTCATCGATTACCCTGAAACCATGGCAGACTCTAGTACGCTCTGGCGCCATGTAAGACAAGTCGACAGTGATTCAAACCTGACAACGGATACTGTTGCTAGACAAGGGATCTCGATGCCAGGAGCCCCTTACTAGTGACCTTCTACTGCTATGCAGTGCTACGCTATGTAATGAACTGCACTCGTTCGTGCTATTGCTCTTGAATCGACTATACGTAGGCATCTTCCATACCACGACTGTGGTCCTGATCCGCCACGTGTTTAGGATGATTCTGGCGTTGCACCTGTGCTTGGTTCAGGTCGCGACGCATGTTTCAAAACTGTCGTATGAACCCAAGACGCCGAAAAAACCTGCTACAACCCTAAACCCTAAAACCCTCAGTCCTATAACAGACCAGCTTCAAGCTGCAGGGTCCGAAAAAGCAGCCTGGGCACTAAACCCTCTAGGCCTTGGGTATGCAAGGGTGCCGGCTTCGGGGATGTAGGCTACCGTAGGAGCCCTCCTCTGCTACTGTGGATGGAGGAAATCTTGCACCGCTTTTAAGAAATGTTA